TGGTAACGAAGCTAGTGAAGCCGCGGGTCGCTGCGCTACCGACTTTCGATACTTGTTTGCTTATTATATCGGAGAAAATGAAATCAAATTCGAATTCGAAACACCACACTATTCGAAATACTTCTTTGCTCATTATGTTCTCCTAATCCAAAAAAAAAAAAAAAAAAAAAAAAAAAATCCAAAAACACGAAATCGGAGAAAATGAAATCAAATTCGTAGCCGAGACTCAAACCACGATTTATCGACCGCTCCAATTTAGCCGCGATTCATACCACACTATTCGAAATACTCCTGTGCTCATTATGTTCTCCTAATCCAAAAACACGAAATCGGAGAAAATGAAATCAAATTCATAGCCGAGACTCAAACCACGATTCGTCGACCGCTTCAATTTTAACCGAGACTTAAACCACACTATTCGAAATACTTCTTTGCTCATTACAGAGAGAAGAAGGAGAGAGGTCACGGGCCACTTTTAGCCGAGCACAGTGTGAGGCGCCCTCTGCACAACTGTGCACATCAACTGCGATGCTAATGTCCACGACACTTTTCTGATTTCCTCCACCACGCACGCACACATAGCCGGCTCAGTCTATCCGTGTGGACCACGCGCTCGGCAATCGTCGGCGTGCCGAGCGACAGAGAGATATCATTCCCTCCTTCTCGCTCTCGTGTTCGCTCAGCGACGCGAGCGAGAATATCTTTCCCTCTTTCTCGCTCAGCGACGCGAGCGAGGCTAAACCCAAAACACAATGCTAGGCGATAGCGATAGCGTTAGGCAATAACAATTGCGATAGCATATCAATAGAAACAGAAAATTCCGACACTAGGGAATGCATATGCCAATGCAGAATGGAACACGGAACAGGCAACAACGACAAAATTTCCGACGAGTCGGAATTCTGTATCTATTGTCTTATAGCGTATCAATCATAGCGTTCAGATTTTTGCCCCGTTTCCAATCAACATGTTTCGAGTCTACCATATTTTTAGGTTATTTGACAGACTGTGACCAACCGAAGACATCGAAAATGGCTCGAAAATGCTTGAAACGAATATTCGCTAAAATGTAACATACAAGACAATGGTCCGTATTTTGAACCCTCTTTTATCGATAAAAATGCTTTAAACGAGGCTTCTCAGTCAATTAGATGGCTCGTAATTTTCTTTTAGAGGCACTTTTATCGATAAAAGATGGTTCAGAATATGGGCCAATATAGATACTCTTGAATATGTTTCAGAAGTACTTACCAAGTAATATTTAACTTAAAACAAAGTATATATTCCTAAATCTGACTAAAAATCGCACAGTCGAAGGTGAATTAATAGTCTCTCCTCAGGACAGAAATGAAGAACTCTGATTGGTTGATTCTCTTATGTGTTGTGTATTATGCGTTATGCAGAAGTCTGTGCTCTGGCCCATACGCTTTGACAATTACAGGTTATGCGTCCTGTATCATAAACATGGAAAAGCAGACTACAAGATTTCTGATTGGTTGACTTTTATTCCTGTCGCGTTAATGTGCAATGGGTAGCGATAATTTTTATCACTATTTCTATTCTATCACTATTCCCTTGTTCCTATCGCTATCGCCTAGCATTAGGGCTTTAAACGACTATGAAACAACAAACAATAGGAATATCTTAAGTCTGTGCTTACGTCAAATAAGAAACGTTTATGAAACATAATAAGACGTTCTACAATAAGATTGTCTTGATCAAGTCACAACTTGAGAATTTGCCCAAGTGTGTGCTTATTCGTCGACTATGAAACTAGAGCGCGTCTTAAGTCTGAACTTGAGATGTTCTTACAAATAAGTCCTGACTATGAATACGACCCTATGGGCGTCTCCGTAGCCGTCGCTTTGTCGTCCAGCCCCGTCGACTTGGCTCAGCGGCCTCATCAGCCTCGCCACCAAACGCGCGACCGCGTCCACGTAGCCCTCGTTCTGTCTCGGGGAGGGAATACAGGTATAGTTCCCCTGACTCCCCCCACCATGGTCCGAGCGGTAGGCACCCCGCAGGGGTTTTGGTCGGTAGAAGTCCGACATAACCCCCGCCCTCCCTAAGGGGCGGAGGTATCCATGAGGATTCCCCTGCGTGACCAAAAAAAAAAAAGCCCTCGTTCTGTCGTCTAACCTCGTCCAGAAAACTCTAGAAACTTCTATATTCTAGCATTTAAAAAAAAATTCTGCAATTCCAGATTTTTAGAAGGTTCAGGAATTTTCTAGAAGTTTTGAGAATTTTTTTAGAAGGTTCTAGAATATTCTGAAAGATTCTAAAACGACTTAGAAGATTCTAGAATGTTCTAGAAAATTCTATAGACCACGTGGACAACAGCCATGCCCATCACTGCCCAGTGCTGAAGGACACGACGCACAATACGCAGATCTCATGCGAAGCGTGGGACCAGCAGCGCCGTATCCTCGCCCGGGCAGTAGAGTGTGCGGAGGAGGTATGGACGGCGGCGGTTTCCGTTGCGGGGGACGTAATGTCCAGCAAGGAGGCCGCCGAATGGGAGCGCCGCTCTGGCAACCGTAGCAGTGAGTGACGGGGAGGGCGGTTCTCTCCCGGCCTCGACAGCGGGCCCGAAGTAGCGCCAATCGAAGAGTCGCCTTCGAATCGTCGGAGGCCTCCTCGAACGCCACGGGCCAGCCACCGTCTGCGGGGCGGGGGGGACAGGCATACAGTCTGCCACCCTCTGCGCGACGGTACAGGAAGAAAAGGGCGGAAACCCCGTTTGGGGACAGGACACGCTAACCCAGCACTCTGGTGAAAAGGGAGGCTAGGAGAAAGAGTGGGTATCCCCTCTCTCCTCTGTTAGGACAAAGTGGTTAGGCCGGGCAACCGGTCAGGACGCCGCGCCCCGCACCCTTATGGGAAGGGCGCGGCACTTAAACGAGGGGCACCCTCAAAGCCCCAAGGCCGAGGTTTCGGGGAGGGAATACCACCGTAATTCCACTGATCCCCCTCCCACAACTACGGCCCAGCTGGCAGACACCCCGGTGGGAGTTTGGCCGGTAAGAGTCCGGCATAACTCCTGTCTCCCCAAAGGACGCGGGTATTCATGAGGATTTTCCCGCCGCCATAAAGAAAAAAGTAGCGGCTATGTAATCAGACATTGTGTGAAACAACAACCAGGTGAAACGAAGACTACGTGGCCGGTGACCACGACACAAACTTCTAGAACATTCTGGAATATTCCAGAAAATTCTATAATGTAGAACGTTCTGGAAACGACGATCACTTGGCCTGTGGTTATGTCAGAACTTCTAGAATACTCTGGAATCTTCTAGAACTTTCTAGAATCTCCGTCGTTGACCGACGGTACAACATCGTTGACCGGCTCGGTCGCCTCGCGCCGGCGCCGCGGCCTCATTAGCTTTGCTATCCTGGGTCAAAGCCGCGGGGCAGCGTCGCCATCGCTCGGCTCGGTCGCCTAGCTCCTGCGCCGCTGCCCCGCGGCCTCACTAGGTCTAGCCTGCAGGAGCAGGAATTGTAGGAATGACTCAATGAAATACAAGGGGAAAATAAAATACATTTTGTACGGATGTTAGATTATCTTTATTATTACATCTGTTTAAAAGACATAACTTATTTATAAAAATATGGGAAAGGATAGCGGAAATAGGATACAATATGACCGAATAAATCCTTAGAGTTTGCTTACAGGAATAGTTAATCCTAATAAAATTCAGTACTTTTTACAAGTTACAAAGAATAACAAGATCTATCGCGATAATCGATGTGTCTGTCTGTCTGTCGGTGTGTATGTGCATATGTGTTTGTGTAGCAATATGCATGTATGCATGTGTATATGTGTGTGTTATTTATCTCTTATCGTACATAATTGTAAATTATTATAGCGCAATACTTAGAACTATCGCGTTTCTTTTCTCTTCTTTAACACAGAAATGATGGTGCGTCAGAGAGCAGGTTTGCTTTGTTCAATTTCAAACAGACATTACAAAAAAAGAGTTGCTTTCGCGCACGTCTGAACAGTCAACGTATTAATATCTACATATTGCTTACTCGGTCACAAATTTATTACAGATCTTGAGTCGATACTTCCTGAATTCCGTTTACCTTTAATTGTACTTTTAGTTGCATTATGTGATCGGCAATCGTTACCTATGTGACGCAGTATGTGGTGTGTGCGTGTGTGTATGTGTATATATTACGAGAGATTATATATATTCTCTTCAAAATATTCATAACCTCTCTCTTCTGTACTCTGTTTAAATTCTGTTTACATACTCTCATTATTTCGCACAACTCGTGTGATTTTGTCGATATGTATGCGGTGGCAGTTCTAGAGATACATAATTCGTTACAAAGTGGTACACGTGTATAAAAGAAAAATAAAGGAAGAAGGAAAGGAAATCGAGAGACAAGGAGACGATCTCCCACAAAGATACACGCTCGTAAAGCAGATACGGAAATTGCGTTGGACCCACAATAATACGCTCCACGACCGGAAGAAAGGAAGCTCCGTCACACCGCCTGCGTGCAATCCGGAATCGCAGGGAGAATCGGCCGTGCAGCGACGCGATCCATCTGTGCGACAGCGGATCTCACGAGATACACATAATAACGTTTACGAGAATAATATAAGGAAAGGAGGAAGGCGGAAGAGGAGCAGGACATGATTAATTATAACGCGGTTCGTCTTACAAAAGGGGAGGAAAAAGTACGCAGCAATAGAACTAACTTACGCGGTATAAAAAAATATGTAAAAACAGTTTGTACAAAATTCGCGAGAGAAGAGACGATTATCATTATTATTATCATTATACTTAATAGAGAAGCGCCGCGCGAAACGGCGCGCGAGAAATGAGCGGGCAGAGAATAAGTGTTACAAGAGTATTTACATTTGCGTTTTCTCCCGCGCGAACGATAAGGTCAAAACGGAGCTCCGACGACGACTCTACGAGAGAGAACTCTGATCGTACCCCGATGTCCCACCGATAGAATGCCCTTCGTGCACGCGAAATAAGGAAAAAAAAAAAAAAAGATATGTATCACCGAAGACGAATATTGCAAACGCGCGCACGAACTTCTCAAGTCTCGCAACGATAATTCCTCTTTTCTCTCTCTCTCTCTCTCTCTCTCTCTTCCTTTCTCTCCCTCTCTCTCTCACAATGATTCCTATGATAATACGCCGTTATTACGTGTTCCGCGCGCGCACGTATCACGCGATTATCTAAAACGCTGTTTTGGCTTTGGTAGAGAAGAAGCCAGAGAACCGTCCTACCGCCTCGTGCCGAGTACTTAATTAAATTTAATTAAAGGCGTTCGGTGCACGCCTACAAAATTAACGTTAACAACGTAAACGATTACACGCTAGCTTGTGGCGATGAGCGGCTGACTTGTCGATGAGGGAGAGGGAGAAGGCTGGAATTAAAAAGCCACGAATCGCGGCTCGATGGTTTTTGGAGAGACTGAGGCGGAGGAGCAGGGAAGGTGAGGTGAGGTGAGGTGAGGTGAGGTGAGGTGCAGAGAGTTGGCGCCATACGCGAAATGGAATGTCTATGTATGGAACGATGCTTCGTGGGCTGCGAGGACGAGTTCTCTGATGCTCCCGTCGACCGTACAAGATTACATATCTCGCCCACACTCTCGTCGTCTCATCCGCCTTACATCCGCGTTTTATTATTACATTACACGTTTACATATTACATGTCTGTGTATGTGTGTGTGTGTGTCGTGTATGTGTGTTACATATTACATTAAATTACACGTTGCGCTAAACCCAGCACACAATTGGTCGTCCCGTCCGGCTCGGAGAAGAAGAAACGCCGTGCTCCCGTCGGCGTGCGATTTCATAATCGTGGAATTTCGCGGCCGCGGCAGTAGCGCGTGTCTCTTTCGTACGCTCTACGGAATTCGAAAAGGCACGATTACTCTCGTTTCTCGCGTATGCGCGTCCCTGCATATCGACACTGTACGCAACACGAACTCGTGTGAAGGTGGACCCAGCACTCCCGCTCCGACCAAGTCGACATTGCTGAAGACCAATTTAAACATGTCCAATCGCATAGTGTGGACACGAGCCAGGAAATGGACCGACACGAAAGACATCCTTTCCTCTTCTCGAACGCGTTATGCGATTGCGCAAGTTTATATAACAAGTCTTCCGGAAAAACGACAGAGGCTCAGGTGTCCTCTCTCGATGTCGGCTTACGCGATGATGGCGGGAAGAAAGAAAGACAACCATGTTTCTTCCTTTCTTCTGCTTCCTCCACATTCCTCCGTTTGCGAATATCGTCTGGCAGAGATAGATAGGGAGAGAGACAGACAGAGAGAAAGAGGAAGAAAAAACGAACATCTCATCTTTCTTACGTATACTTCTGTCCTTCTTTAACGTTATCCTCGTGACGTCTCTTCCAAGCGCGCGATTTATTCACTGTTTGCGCACATTCTGGGCAAGACTGCGCAATTAGTGTGGAAACCGCGGTTGGCAGTTGCATCGTCGTACCTTCCAGCGTCTTGACCCTTCGGCGAGAGTACCAAGATCGGCCGAAGGATACGATCGGTGCAACGGGAGGAGTTTCTTTCTGCGTTGGACAGCCATTAAACTTCCCGTTTCGCAATTACAAGTTCTCCGCGGAACGAGGACATGAGCACAGCGATGAAGGTTCTTCCCCCTCTCTTCCTTTCCCTCCTTCTCTCTCGTCCCGTAAATCTATATGCGATATGTACAATTATTATTAGAGTAGCAAGGTCTCGTTCCTTAATTAATTATTGTCCACCGGGGAATCTTCACACTGGCAAGTCGAAGGCACCGTTTTTATTTATTGAGCTGCGTGACATATATAGTGATGTACATAGCGACAACGGTAAAAAGAGTAAAAGTTGATCGATATCAAAAATATATCGGCTATCTTTCTTCTTCCTTCGTCTCTTCCTCCGGGCCGATCGCGTGCGCGTTCGCCGGAGAGGCACAATCGGTCTCGCACACAGTCCTGAGCGCGTGGCTCCTCACACACACACAGCACGGTCTCCGTCCGTCCCCGTTCCTGGTCCCGAGGAATGCTTCCCCTTTTACGCACACGAGTGTGCGTATACATGATTCGTTCATCTACACTTATAACGCGTATAAATATGTATAATAACCGCGACGCGTGCGTCGCCGCCCCGCCGTGGCGTGTTAATTCCGTGCTAACAAAACAAGGCAGGGCGCCTTCTCGGCGCCAGTCCGATTTTCCAAGGAAGAGGCCCTGGGTCTTTTCGTTCATTTCCACGACGTCTCTCCGTTGCCGGTCGCGGGAAATCGCCGCCCTCGAACCCTCGAGACGAGGTGATCACAGTGTTCGCGTTACGCTTTCTTTCTCGCCCTATCGTTACCCTTCACTCGCTCTCTTTCTCTTTTACTCATTCTCTCTCGCTCGCCTCTCTCTCCCTCTCTCTTTCTCTCTCTCTCATCCTTCGCCGTCTTCGGTCTACCACTGGCTCGCGCGAAGGGGAGGAGGAAGAAAAGGAAGAGGAGGAGGAGGAGGAGGAGGAGGAGGAGGAGGAGGAGGAGGAGAAGGAGGAGAAGAAGAGGAACGTCGCCGGGCTCATATGTAGATCGCTTCAGAGCCCTTGTTGCTTTGGTGAGCGCCGCCGCCGGCGCCATACGCGTTCGGCGAGGCCATGCACTCGGACCAATCGCTATTCGAGTGCGGCGAGCTCGAGGACCAGTGACCCGGGCTGTCCGGCGACGGCGTCGGGAAGCTCTCGGGTGCTTGCATAAGATGTTGCGGCGTCACGTCCGGCCCGGAATGATGGGACGGCGGCGTCAAGTACTGATAGTATTGCTGCGTCTGTTGCTGCTGCGTGCTCTGCTGCTGCTGCTGCTGCTGTTGTTGCTGCTGCTGCTGCTGCTGTTGCTGCTGCTGCTGCTGTTGTTGCTGCTGCTGCTGGATCTGCTGCTGCGTCTGCTGCATCTGCTGCTGTTGTTGCTGCTGCTGCTGTTGTTGCTGCTGTTGTTGCTGCTGACTCGACGAGTATGGCAGATTGTCAAAGTCGAAGCCCACAGGCGGCATACCGCCGTGCTTCTGATGCGTCGCTTGCCGCATCGCGGCGATGTGGGTCGGCGAGGTGGGTAGCGACGGCCGGCTCTTGGCCGGCGACGGCGAGCCCATGTAGCTCGCTTGCGGCGACAGTGTCATGTTCGATTGCACCGAGTGCGGCGGCGACTGGTTGCTGTACGGCGGCGACAGGGTGTTCACCATGCCCTGCGTCTGCCGCTGATGAGGCGCTAAGAGCTGGTCGTGAAACGGCAGCCCGTAGTTGGTCGCGAAGGTGTCCAGGCCGAGTTGCTGCAGGCCCTGCATCGATTGGCCCTTTATGCAGTCCTCGTATGGGGGCGGTTGCTTCGCCGTCGCCGTGTGAGCCACCAAGGGCAACGCGTTGCTGTACAGGCTCGCGCTGTCGTATGGGCTCGGCAGGTTACCCTCGGCGCCCTCCGCCTCCTGATGAGGGATCTCTTGGTTTGGGGGCTGGGCGCCGCCGCGCTTGGCCGCTGGGGGCTTCTTCACCGACGGCTTTCGCCTCACCATCACCACCGCGCCGGCCTCGGACTCCGGGCTGTTTGGGTTTCCCGTGCCGCCCGCTTTCGGCCGCTTCTTCGACTTGCTTTGCTTCGGCGCCGAGCCGATCACCGTCGGGTGCGTGATCAGCTGCGGATGGTTCGGAGATCCTGCGTAGAGAAGAGGATAGGCTAAGGTCAATCATTCGCGGAACGAGCAATACCACAACGAATAACGAGTTATTCTTCCAAAAGAGTCAGCCTTAGAGACCAACTCTGACTCAAGCTTGAAGACTGTATGATTGAAAGAACGCTTACCCATGAGAGGACCGTTCGGAATGACGGTGACCATCTGCGGTGACCTCGGCACGTGCTCGTCGAGCAGTCTAACGATGTCATGATGCAGTCTCTCGCTGGCGACGTCGCGCGGTAACCGGTCCATGTGATCGGTGATCTCCCGGTTGGCGAATGTGTCGAGGAGCGCTTTGCACGCTTCGAAACTGCCCTCCCGCGCCGCGAGGAACAGCGGGGTCTCGTCTTTGTCGTCCTGAGCGTCTCTGTTGGCGCCGTGCACTAGCAGAATGTTGACAGCGTCGACGTTGTTGACCGCCGCGGCCCAGTGTAGCGCGGTCTTGCCGCTGTTGTCGGCAGCGTTGATGTCGGCGTCGGCGTTGATGAGATCCTCCACCATGCCTTCGGTGGCCAGGCGCGCCGCCAGTATGAGCGGCGTCGTGCCGTCGTGCATGCGCGCGTTGAGATTCGTCGCCCGGTTACGCAGCAAGATCTGGAACACTCCCATGGCGTCGGCTGCGACGGCTGAGTGCAGCGGAGTCCTGCCGGTGTTGTCCTGGGAGTTGGCGTCGGCTCCTGCGTCCAACAGTCTCTTGGCAGCGTCGGCTCTGGCGAACCGAGCGGCCAAGTGCAACGACGTCTCGCCGCTCTTGTCCGTAGTAGCGTTAAGATCGGCGCCTTGGGCCACCAGGTCGGCGATCATCGCTGCGGTACCGTCGCTCTCGTCCTCTTCTTCACCGGTGTCGAGGCCGCCGCCGCGCACCGCCGCTACCATAAGCGGCGTCATACCGCACGGACCACGCGCGTCCACGTCTTGGTCCGGCGGGGTGAGCACCCCGGCGTCCGGCCGTGGTATCTCAGCGGCGTCCAGGTGTTGCTGCGTCCACCTGCGCGGCTCGGTCTCCTCGTAGTCCGTGATGGCGGTGTGGTCGCTGATGGCGGTGCGCGGTCGTTTGGCCGGCAGGTCCGACTCGTCGTCGGACCAGTGCTGCACCCGGCCGTTGCCCACGTCTATGTCCATGCAGTTGATCGACGGCTGCTTGTTGAGGTTCCGCATCTCTTGGCCGTCCGGTCCCCGCCTACGTGAACGGCGACGTTGGCCGCTGCCGCTGTTGGTCCTCAGGAAGCCTTCGGGGAACCATGTGACCCCTACGGCGCGTTTTCGTTGAGCGGTAACGAGTACGCCCACAAGCAGACCACTCAAGAGCACGATTACCACGCCGATGAAGACAAACTTGTAGTTGGTGGGGCTGTCCGGGTACTCGGGGCCTTGCGGCCCGACGACGCCGCGCACCTGCTCGATTGGGAAGTTCCGCGACAGCGAGTGCTTCGACGCCGTCGCGGCCAGATACTCGGCTGCTTCGTTCGCTGAAGGGAAGCACACCGCACCCTGCGTCATCGTGCACTTTCTGTTGTCGATCTCCAGGTAGGCAATCACGCCGTTCTGCGGGCTGGTGTAGATAGTCGCGGGTTGGCCGAAGATGTTGGTGTGTTGGCTCGGTTCCCTCTCCCGTTTCCACGGGTATATCATGTCGTTGCCGAGCTCATCCTGCTTCACGCGCAATGTCGTCCGTAATTCATGCCCGATATCCCTCAAGAAAGCCACGACATTAGAGCGGAAGGTGGGCATGTCCATCCTCACCACTACCGATATCACGCCCTCCGCTAAGGATGGTGGCTCTCCGTCGCAATCCAAACCGTCCCAGTTGCACTCTTCGTTGTTGCAGCCGTAATCGCAGTGACCGTTCGCGTAGTGCTTCCTACAGTACGCGTCGTAGATTGGGCTAGACAAATGACAAATGACACAATGAGTGAAAATAGAACTCCCCGATATATATATATATATATAAATAAACATTTATCTACTGTGTCCTTGGTTTACAATTCTGTCTTGGGTATATTAATATCTAAGATTTCGTCATTAGACTAAAGTTTAAAAAGGTGAAGAGTTTCTCTTTGAAAGATAAAAAGAGTTAATAAATTAATGTTCTTAACTTCAATATTTCACAACCATGTAAAAAAGACATAAATCTCCCAACAACACTGTTACGCCACTGTTACCTTTCACTCGCGAGCTTTTAAGAAGTCAAGAATTGAATCATTCTAAAGATACATCGGTGAGAATGAAACACTTACTTGCAAGGGGCGAGTTTCCTCTCGCAGTCCCTGCCGTCGAAGAGGCACTGGGCATTGTTGCAGACCTCGTCGCACACGTCGTTCATGAACACGTCCCAACAGTTGATGGGTGCGGTGCAGTTACGCCAGGGGTTGATGCCTAACGAGCAGTCATTGCCGTCAAAGTTGCAGGCATACCTGTTGCACTCCTCGTCGCAGTGATGATTGCCGGACTTCTCCTCGCAGTGGTTCTCGATGCATTTCTTACGCTCGTGCTCCAGGTCGAGGTCGTACGCGTTGGCGATCTTGGGCACGTTTGCGTTCGGCCTGCCGAATACGCCACCCCGGTAATTCGGGTCGTATATCTCGCAGTTCTTGCCCGTCCATTTGGCCGGGCAGTAGCAGGCGTAGTCGCCAACCAGGTTCTCGCAGATGGCCTCGGGTTGCTGGCACGGGTTGCTCGCGCACTCGTCCCGCGCGTCCATCTCGCAATGAGTACCGGTGGTGCCAGGCGGGCAGTAGCACATGTAGCCCATGCTGGTGTCGGTGACGCGGCACGTGCCGCCATGCGAGCACGGCTCGGAGTCGCAGTATGAGCCGGCGAATTCGCAGTTGCTGCCGTGGAAGTCGGGCGGACACGCGCACGTGTGACCCGCCTGCTTGGCGGTGCATATGCCGCCGTTCTGGCAGGGCGAGCTGTCGCAGAAGTTTACCTTCACCTCGCAGTGGCGACCCATGTAGCCGGCCTTGCAGTTGCAGTGATAGTTGTTGACCAACTGCACGCAGTCCTGGGTACCGGTCAACGAGCATGGATTCGACAGGCACTCGTTGATGTCGCCCTCGCATCTTGGTCCGACGAAGCCGGGCGGACAGTTGCACTCGAAGCCCCCGACCTTGTCGGTGCAGGTGCCGTTGTTGTGGCACGCTCCGATCACGCAGTCGTCCACGTTGACCTCGCATATGAAGCCGAGGGTGCCCGGCGGGCAGGAGCAGCTAAAGTTGTTGACCAGGTCATGGCAGGTGCCGCCGTTTTGGCACGGATTGGGCGTGCAGTCGTCGACGTTGAGCTCGCAGTTTTGCCCTTGGAAGCCCTTGGTGCACTGGCATTGGTACGAGCCGACGAGGTCCCGGCAGGTCGCGCCGTTCTGACACGGCGCCGAGTCGCACTCGTCGATCTCCTCCTGGCAGTACGAGCCGGTGTAGCCCTCGATGCAGTGGCAACGGTGACTGTTGCCAATGTCCTCGCAGGTGCCGTTGTTGCAGAGGTTCTTCTCCGGCACGCCCTTCCGTATGGCCGCGTCTTTGCACGAGACCATCTCCACGTCGCACACCTTGCCAGTCCAGCCGGGCGAGCAGTTGCAGTGGTACTTGTTCTTGTGCTGGACGCACGTAGCCTGGTTCTCGCAGGGGTTGTCAGCGCACCAGTCCACATACTTGTCGCACCGTGTGCCGGTGTAGCCATACGGGCAGTGACACGTGTAGTATTGCACGTGATCATGGCAGGTGGCACCGTTCAGGCAGGGCGAGCTGTCGCACTCGTTGATGCGGTATTGACAGTTGGAGCCGGTGTAGCCGGGCTTGCAGACGCACGTGTAGTTGTTGATACCGTCGATGCACTTGCCGCCGTTCATGCAGCTACTGTCGGTGCAGTCTTCGTCGTTGGTCTGGCAGTTGATGCCGGAGAAGCCGAGACCGCATTGGCAGGTGTAGGAGTTGACGTATTCCTTGCAGATCGCTCCGTTTTGACAGGGTTGCGACAGGCACTCGTCGACGTCGATCTCGCAGTGCTTGCCGTTGAAGCCGTCCACGCACAGACAGGTGTAGTCGCCGATGCCGTCCAGGCAGGTACCGCCGTTCTGACAGGGAACTGCGAACGAGTGAAAAGGTTGTCTCTCATTAGACGTCCCGCTCGGCGCTAGGCGCTTAAACGCGCTTCATTTCATTCATGTCGTTGTCGTGCGAGCGAGTTGTTGCGCGCGCGGTGAAACGTATGACGCTCGTCGTAGAGCTGCATTTAAGGCTCTCTCTCTCTCTCCCTCTCTCTCTCTCTCTCTCTCTCTCTTGAGTGAAAACCGAGAGAGGATGCATGTGTAGCAAAAGAAGAGGAATAAAAGAAGAAAAGAAGACAATGAACCGCAGGCGGTACTCACATGATGCACAGTCATCGGTATTGATGATGCAATCACGGCCCTCGTAGCCCTTGGCGCACACACAGTGGTAAGAGCCGTTGGTGTTCCGGCAAGTGGCACCGTTTCTGCACGGCGACGTCATCACGCACTCGTCCACGTCCTCGTCGCAGAGCCTCCCCGTGTAACCGACCGTGCACGTGCACGCGAAGTCGAGGAAGTTCGACGACGGCGAGCACTTGGCTCCGTGGAGGCATCTGAAATGACACGCTGGCGTTATCAAGTCGTTCTACTACTATTCAGATCATCCGTGCGCGACAAATTTAGTGGAGCTCCCTGCAAAAGAGAAGGAAAGAGAGAAAAAGAGAGAGAGAGAGAGAGAGAGAGAGAGAGAGAGAGAGAGAGAGAGAGAGAGAGAGAGAGAGAGAGAGAGAGAGAGAGAGAGAGAGAGAGCTCCTCGACTGGACGCGCGACGCCATTCGGCAAAGTTACGAGCGAGGTCCGTTGAGAAGCGTTGGGCTTTTCTCTGCGCGGTTTGATACTTTAAAATCGCTTCAAGCCTCATCATCACTCTTCCAGACACCGACTTTGTAATTTCCAAAGCCGGCTCCACCGGTAGAACGCGAGCCTTTGAGTGCGGAGCAACACGGAGTGCAAAGGCGCTCTATGTGGCCGGGACTCGGCATGATTGTCACGCGTCGGATTCGTCCACCTTGACCGGCGAGAGACGTCAGGCGGACCAGGGAGGAACCGGTGCTCTACATTCGAAGTAACAAAGCGCGCAACTGATCACCGTCGAGATACCAAGGGCGATTAGGGGAGAGCGCGTAATTACAGCCTTCTCTCTTCTTCCCCGCGCGAAGAAAAAGGAACGTCTTTCTCTTCCCTGCGCGAAGACGCGTGAAGGAAACGCGTGGAAGGTGAGAGCGAGCGTACTTGTTCGGCGAGCAGGGGTCCAGCTTCTCCTCGCAGTTCCTGCCGGTGTGCGGCAGTTCGCAGACACACTTGAAGTCGTTGACGAGGTCGATGCAGGAGCCGCCGTTCTGGCAGGGGTTGTTGGCGCAGTCGTCGATGTTGGTCTCGCAATTGGTACCGCTGTAGCCGGCCAGGCACTTGCAGCTGTAGCCGTTGAGGTGGTCGTTGCACGTGCCGCCGTGTTGGCAAGGATTCGAGCCGCACTCGTCGATGTCGGCCTCGCATCGCTTGCCGCCGTATCCCGGCAGGCAGTGGCAGATGAACTGGTTCACGCCGTCCTCGCAGGTGCCGCCGTGCATACAGGGATTGCTCGCGCACTCGTCCACGTCGCTCAGGCACCTGGCGTCGTAGTAGCCGCGCGGGCATTCGCACCTAAAGCCGTTTATCACGTCGATGCAACGGCCGCCGTTCGCGCACGGATTGCTGGCGCACTCGTTAATGTCGGTCTCGCAGTGCTGGCCGGTGAAGCCGGGCTTGCACTCGCAGGAGTACCTGGAAGACGAGACATCGTATCCACTGAGAACGGAAGGATGCGTTTTGGTGGGGCGTTAGCAAGCGAGTCAAAGATTTTGCCAGATTGTGTGTGTCCGCGTCGCCTCCTCGTGTCTCGCCCGTGTTTGGCCTTGAGTGACCAAACGACGACGACGACGACGACGACGACGACGGCGCGCTCTCTTTGTCGTTCATGGTGAATCCATCAGCGGTGTCCAATCGCGCCAAAGAGAACGAGAGAGGATCGAAATCTCGACGAAACGTCTCTGTGAATCCACCACGGTCGAGGGGATGCCACACTCGATCATCTCGCCGACGAAATGCCGATTCTTCTTTCACCACGAAATTATGTCGTATTGTTTGCGCAAGGTTGCAATTGTTTTTCAATAATAAAAGGAGAATTTTACTATTACGCCTTTACGAGCGAGTTTAGAAGCTTCAAGATACGCGGCGCTTTCTTTGTAGAAAGATACGCGCGATAGTGTGTTTCCCGCCGAGACAAAGCATTTGCCATCTGACATCTACGTGTACAAGAAACACGAAGAAGGTGACACGATATCTATCTAGCGCTAGCGCTCACTTATCCGACGTGTTTCGACGTTACTGTCTCTACGTTATCGACGCTTTCGCAATGTGGCATCCCCTCAACGTGAACATGAACGTTCGCGCGCTCGTCGTCGTACGTAGGATGCACTCAGGCGTACGTACAGTCCGTCCTCTTGTTGATAATTTTGCCGAATTCTGTGTGGGTCGAGGTAACTCTCTTCCGTATATATCGCTCTGATCGTCTCTTCAAGAACCACGCGTCTGAGTTACACAGCGATTCTGCCTTCGACCTATTAGCGGCCAATCTCCCACTCGTGGGACACCCTTCTGTTCTACATTGTTCTACATTGTATTGTAACGGATCCGAAAATTAAATTTGGGACTTCAGCTCCACCATTGCAGCTCTACTACGAATGCCAAGACCTCTCTTGGCACTTGGGAAATTGCGACGGCCTCTAACGAGTCCAGAGGAACACAGACAGGGACGATCGATCGCCACGATCGAGTGAAAGGCAAGACACCCGTCTTGCCCTAGCGGCCCTATCCGCTCCGCGATTCTTGAAGAGCGCCGGATACCTCGAAGGTAGGTCCGCCGATCAGCGTACTCGACCATCACCTTCACGCGCGCCCAGTTCCTTAAGCTTACCTGTTGATACCGTCGATGCACATGGCGCCGTTTCGGCAGGGGTTGCTGTAGCACTCGTTGACGTTCACCTCGCAGTTGATGCCGGACGTGCCGGGCCGGCAGATGCATTGGTAGCCGTTGATGCGGTCCTCGCACAAGCCGCCGAACTGGCAAGGGTTGCTCGTGCACTCGTCGATCTGCGTCTGGCAGAGCGGCCCGGTGTAGCCGGCGTAGCAGTTGCAGCTGAAGCTGTTCTCACCGTCGATGCAGATGCCGCTGTGACAGGGGTTCGACTGGCAGTCGTTGATGTTGGTCTCGCAGGAGGCGCCGGTGAAGCCGGGCGGGCACTCGCACGTGTACTTGGCGATGCCGTCTTGGCAGACGCCGCCGTTCTTGCACGGCGACGAGGCGCAGTCGTCGATGTTGATCTGGCAGTGGATGCCGGCGAAGCCGTCCGCGCAGGTACACTTGAAAGAGTTGATGAGATCGGTGCAGCCGCCGCCGTTCAGGCACGGCTTCGCCGCGCATTCGTCTATGTCGATCTCGCATTGCGTGCCGGTGAAGCCTGCAAGAGGAATGAGTAGTGTTATTTATCTCGTGTGTGCGACGAAGACGGTCACGTCGGAGGACGTGAGAGACCAGTGCTGGGGGGGGGGGAGGGGGGGCATTTAGTTCCACCGAACTTCCTGCGCATACGTCAATTTACGTCACGCGTTTACAACTGCTTATCATACTCGTACCTAAATGCAATATTAGAGGTTTTTGCGCAGCCCGAACCATATCTTTTTTTTTTTTTCTATATAGGCTGCGTTCCGATATTCATTGCTAGCATTGGAAATCTGTAGTATATGTGTCACGAATGATGTATTTTCAGTACTGGCAGTGAATATTGGAACGCAGTCAATCCTATATCGCTACATTGGTTTCGCCCCAAGAACGCCGCCCCATTGTGCATGAGCGAGTGCGAGTCTATCAAAACTTGTGACGTAATTGACGCATGCGCAGGAGGTTCGGTGGGGACTAAATGCCCCCAACACTGCGTGAGACTGTGTTCGCACTGTACGCGACGACGCTGTGATATGAAATTAAATAGCAACATTGTAGCGTCGCATACCGTGGGAATTACTTCCGTAGGAATACCTTCGTCGCTTTGTTTCGTCAGTGAAAAATCCGAAATCATGTTGCCCGACATCAAGTGTATGATAGAGGATGAGATAAATAAATAATGCATCGACGAGCAGAGCGACAGTGTTGGCGAACTTGAGCACTTTCCCGCGTCGACGGACAACGATGTAAATTAATTGGATGATTGGTCGAAAATAATTTTTACGGTACTATCGATAAGCAGTAAACATCGGCCACGCGAGATCGGACGTCAAGGTGAAGACATCCGTCTTGGCAGGACCGCGGGCACGTCAGGCTACGTAGGCGTATATAGAGTCGTCACCGGCGCAACTGACGTAATTGGCGTTAATCAGACAGCCATCGATGGGCCAGGAGGCCATAGTAGCACGCGATCGACGGGGGAAACATCGTTAATTGCACGTTTGATCGATCGACCGGGCGCTGCTTTTTCCGCGGTTTTCTTGCCGCGCGCCGGCGACTCCCCGGAATGATCCCGCGGCGGGCAATAACCGCATCAATTATCGGGAGTAATTAGGGATGTGGCAGATGGCGATTGTTTCGAGGAAGCCGCTACGCCGGTCACCACAGGCGAACGCCTCTTTCGCGTGTAATCTTCCGCGGGGAGGACCCGATCGAAAGGACCACGGCTAAATATCGATTACGATGCGCGTCGGGTACGAGGAATTCCCCCAGGGGCACCGCTTTCCGGGAAGCTGAATTATCGAAGATTGAAGTCGCGAGCCTCGTTAAGGCCGACATTAACGTGGACGCCGTCGTTCGGTTCGCGTGGAACGATCGGCGGCTCGAGTCATTGTTGGATTAATGAGATTCATCTCGGCCGCTCGACATTGCCGTGGCAGTCGCAAATTAATTTCTATCTCTTTAAATAGTCTTGCTAATTACACTTTTGGAGGGCCGATCCTGCGAAAACGAAGAGTGAAACGTTCGAGTGGTCGAGTGATCTTAAGAGTCGCACCGCGGCTACCCGACGCAATTCCTAAGAGGAAATTCTTATCAATTCCGCGAACGATTGTCTATCGGTTTCTGCCAATGGAGAGACCAGTCGCCATCCACCCCGACCAAGACTCCGCGGGTTGCTCTCTCTCGATCACAAAAACCGCGAGCTCGCAGCGCGCTGCCGCGCGAGGGTATTTCCTGGCGACTCCTGCGCCAGGTGGTCTTGACGAGCGCGGGTCTCTCCTGCTGCCTTTTTGCCAAGATCGCGCGCTCATAATACGCGCTCATTCATACACAAATTCAGCCCGTGTCGCGTTGTAATGCAAGGAGCCCACTAAGGGGGGAAGGGGGATGAGAAACGGAGAAAAGCAGCGGGAGCAAGTGGGACCGAGCGGTGCACGCACGCGACGCGTTCTCGCCGCAGGTGGTCTAATTATGTTGTATTGGAGGATAATCCTGATGAAGCGCGGCAGCCGCCGCTCGAAAATTATTTTCGCTGCACGCGTGTCCCCGCTACACGGCTCCACCTCTCTTCTAGCCGTTGCTAGCCGAGGCCCACGGCACGATTTGCGAGCCGCCGCGCCGCGCGCCGGCTCGTTTAAATCAACGTAACGAAGCCGTGTATCACGTGCGTGCCACGTCGCTCGTCGGAAAGAGCAACGAACCGCGTCGAACAAATGCGCAAAGTAATCTCTCGCGGTACGGCCGCGAGTGCGTCCGTGTGATGCAAATTATCGACCCGTGGAACACTCTCTCTCTCTCTCTCTCTCTCTCTCTCTGGAGACGTGTTACCCTGAAGAAGAGCGCGATCGATGCGGGTTTGGGGGACAAAACTGCGCGAGTCCGAACTGTCATTAGAGTCGTCTTCTCCTTCAGCGGGAAGAAAAATATTCAGCTTACCACTCATCATTCACGCGCATTCTTCATCGCCCAGTTTCGCGGCGCTTCCCGCGCGTAAGCTGGGAACGCGAAGAGGGACGGCGACGGTTCCGACATTGGGTCGATCGACAAGCAGCTTACGCGCTCGATATCGGAGGATGATTGTGCGAAGGAAGAGAAAGAGAGAGAGAGAGAGAGAGAGAGAGCCGTCGTCACGTCGCGTCGCGTCGTGTCATCGCGACGCCTCCGGGAGGAACATCCTCCCGGTCCTCGTCAACCGGATGACGCGCGGATTTTTATCATATTTACATTCAGCCGAGATTTCTTTTTTCCCGGCTCGGCGCGCAGACAATGATGCAGCTAATTCACTTGTGAATGCACGTACGAGGAGAGCCGGCCGGCGGAACCTCCCGGCTCCCCCCCCCCTCTCTCTCTCTCTCTCTCGAAAGAGCCTCTTAAAGCCTCCCCTCGGCACGTGAATCACGCGCGAGCGCGAGCGCGAGCGCGAGCGCGCGATGCGCGGCGATTTATTGTCATGTCGGACGTCGTTGCGCGCGACTTCTTTTTCTCTCCCTTTGCATTACGTACGTGTCTCGGAGAGACGTTATAAGCGCGACGTAATTGGCCCCGGCGACGCGGCGGGAGGAATGGTTCCGTCGGAGGGAGACTCTGAGCGAACTCTGTGGCTTGGGTGACTTGTCACTCTCCGAACTTTTCCCGGGATGAAATTCGCTCGGAGACGAAGACGGTGGAGCTCCGCCGTGAATCGAGCTCGCTCCGATCGACCGCTAGCGCGGCGGGCGAATTAAAAGTTGTCAATACGAGCGAACGACGAATGTGCGCGCGCAGCTGGCGCTTTGCTGCAATTAAACGCAAATAAGGCCGCTCGACTGGCTGGACGCGACGCTATTATTATCAACTTCTTCTACAACATCGCGAAGACATTAATTTGCTCTCGGGATGTTCTCTCTCCGAGGCTGTCGAGTAGTGATCCCGAGCCGGGAGTATGGGAAGGGAAGGAGGGGGGGGAGGGCGAGAGGCGATATCTCCTCTCTCTCTTTCTCTCTCTCTTTTTTTTAGATCCCTCCGTATACATCCCGTTTGCCACGCGCGTCTGCCTCGGTTCGGCGGGAGCTCTGGCATTATCCTTCGACGAGCGACGTATCCTGCGATAGACGCCGCCATCCACGCCTCCCGTCTAATGCCCGTAATGCTCACTTGTCAATCCTTTCCGCGTACCAAATGGATAGTTGCCGATTCATAAATATCGCGTTGCGCCGCCACCGCCGCCGCCGCCGCCGCAGAAACCGGTCGTCCCGCGACTGCACCTCTCTCGTTTTGTTGCGCGATCGAAATACTATTCATTAGAGCCGGCGCGCCCAATAAGAGACAAAACGCATTCGCGCGAAAAAACAGGATCCCAGCGCGGCTGGGATTCGCCGTTTTGCGAAGCGCTGCGCTTCTTCATCAACGCGCGGAGAGCCTGTGAATATCTTCGCGGAGCAACCGCCGCGTTTCCCGGTGAGACCGAGTTCGCACAGCCCGCTAATTCGCTCGATCGCATCTGGAGGACGCGGAAGGGGGGGAGGGGGGAGGATCACGCGCGAGGTCCAGGAACTGCGAATCGATCTGCGCGGCGCGGCAACAATGCATCGGAGGTGGTTTGTTTTCATCTCCGAGCCGATTTGCGTAGGGAGAAGCAGATCACGCGAGCCGACGCTTGGCCAACACGAGAGAGAGAGAGAGAGAGAGAGAGAGAGAGAGAGGGAGATGAGTGCCCGTGAAGGGCTCGCTCTCTCGTGCGGGCCCCCGACTGCACAGCCCGTTCCATCTGCTGCAATTTCGATAGCAGCTGATCCCGAAGCGATCGATTCCGGGTTGTGCGCCGGCTAGCGGTATCCGAATTGTGGAGCAATGCAAATTTTTCCCGCTCGGCCGAGCTCGGCTGAGAATTCGCGAGCGAGCGAGCCTCTCGTAGTCGCTTCTCGGCGAGCTCTCCTCTCTCTCTCTCTCTCTCTCTCTCTCTCTCTCTCTCTCTCTCTCTCTCTATATCTATACGTTTACTCTGTATCTATATATATGTCTATATGCATCCATATCAACATATCTAAATATTTATTCTGTATATCTAATATTATTATAGTCTTGGTGGGGTCGGGCGCTCATTATGACGGCTCTGCGTAACTCTGCGTTATTTTGCGTTACTTTACTCGACACTATGATAATGCATTTTTTGTTTAATGTTCCGTATGATCAAGGGTCTTACAACGCCGTCGGCGTGTACCTGTATTTCTAACGAAACCTAAGGGGTTGTTTTCCCAGGGTGTCAATAAACTATCTATCTATCTATCTATCTATCTATCTATCTATCTATCTGTCTATCTCTCTCTCTCTCTCTCTCTCTCTCTCTCTCTCTCTCTCTCTCTCTCTCTCGGAAGCGACACGCCAGGCGACAGACCGACTCTTTATTGTAATGAACGGAGCGGCAAAGTTGAATCGTCGGGCGCCATTTAAAGGCCGCGTGGTGTATTTTTGTCGCGGCCGTGTGAGATCGCCGATGGGGCTCGCTCGCTCGCTCGACAGGATCGATCGGAGTACCTAAAG